TCTACTTGCATTCCTTATTACCATTTACGGCTTTTCAGTTATAGGGACTGTGCAATAATTATCAGGAGGGGGAGGCTGAGTATTCAGAGTGGGAGGGGAGGGGCATAGTCTGATCTTAGAACTTGAAAGAGGGGGCACAACGTCTGATGAAGGAAGGAGAGGGGGAGGGGGGTAAAATCTATAACGATTGCAAAAGCGATTGCAAGTCAACAACTCAGCAATCAAAAGGATGGTTTTATAACTTGATAATTTTGTGCTGCACCCAAAATCCTTGGGGGGAGGGGGGTACAGTCTAATCTTCCAGTGGTGGTTGGGATGGCATGTCATATTTTTTAAGCGTGAGGTGAAACATCACTAAATTGACTGCCTTTTTCAGTCATTTCTCAACCTCCCCACCACTCCTGATTATTATTACGCAGTCCCTTACGCTCTTTTGATGCTGCTTGCAAATTAAAAATAAAGTTTTAAAGTTTATTGTTTTTTAATATAGATATGCGAGCTGTGATCGTGAGGAAAGAATCCATTATATTAATAATTCTCATGGGTTTGGCATGTAAGTTATCAACTGAACAAATGTTTTATGATAATCAGTCATCGTTCAAACAGAATATCAGAAATACACTTAAAGACTTGATTATTTATTGATATTTTCCTCTGTTAGATACCGAATCAACGCGCTGTCCTAAAAATGGCGTTGCCTACAACAGATGTGGTGACCGATGTCTCTGTACACACGGTAGACTTACGCAGTGCGCGCGTATACGAAGAGACTTCATCTCCATGAATTGGGGCGAGAGGCTGAGATTCGTTCGTACTTTCCTCGCGGCCACCAAACAGGAGCCTTACAAGAGTGAGTACGAAAGACTGGTAGCCACTCATACAAGGAATTTCAAAACAGGGATACATAAGTAAGCGAATTGGAATTGATTTTTTATACTACAATTGATACTACAACATCACAACGGCATACAGTCAGCTCCAGCTATTACGGACACCCTCGGGACCGTAGTAACGAGAGTTACTTTCAGTCATTTCTTTGTATTTTTCGCCGGGGATTCAGTATTTCACTGTCCGCAATATCGAGTTGTCCGTTGTAGCGGGGTGTCCGTAAGGCGAGAGTTGACTGTACTTGTATATAAAAATAGAATATGACATCTGAGAAGAACAGCCCCCGTTCCGATGAAAATGTATTCCGCCGATCTACAATAGCTCACAGTATTATTTGATTGCTTTGAATATATTTTTCTTTGTTGACAGGCAGGAACAATTTCTTCCTTGGCATCGTTGGTATTTGTTACAAATGGAAAACTTGTTTCGAAAAATTGATTGTCGAGTAACCGTACCTTACTGGGACTGGAGTCTATTTTCTGGAACGCCATGGCGCTCAACGGTAAACCTCATAGTCACGTGTGAGCGCATTTAAACAAAATTCGCGCCAAAACATCGGATGATTGACCCGTGAATGTTACAAATCTCATTCCCATCGCTACAGAATCGCATGCACACACTCCACTGAGGTCTAAACCCTTGCCAACATGAGATGCTGCCAACATGCAAATGCCATAGAAATGTGCGCATGAACATTTCGCAATCCGTCGGCGTAAATTCAATGCGGATACAAAAACAAAAATGTTCCAACACGGATACGTAGGGACCGTCATATCAGCAAATTCTAGTCTATTTTACCTAATTTTATTACAGATTGAAACTTGCCATCCACTTTAGTCGTAAACGGAGTACAAAACCCCTCGTGATTCTAAAGTAAAAATCGAAAACTGATTACTGATATATATGCTYTTTACTTTACAGCTAAACGACTTATTCTCATCCGCCCCGTGGGGATTTGGTGGCAATGGTCATGGCGGTGAATACTGCGTAACAAGCGGACCTTTCAACCGCTATCAATGGCAAACAACCGCATCTAATCATCGACAGTGCTTAAAAAGACGCTTCAATGGTAAAAAAACCCATTCTACTAGCAAATCACTTGAATCTATTTAGGAACGTATTGCTTGTTGAATGAGTAGTGACTATATTTAGAGAAACTTTTATCGGCTGCCATAATTTCCATAGGTTCACTTTTCCAAGTACAAAAATTTCTAGGCATGAGATTGTTAACATAAATAATAACACTTACAAGAAGGATGAAACCCCTGGCTAAAATACGCGCGCGACTTGGACGATTTTTGAACTCGATCCTCTATTTCACGCCGATTGCTGTTGTCCACAGGTAACCCACCAGACATTGTAGCCGTGGCTGAGATCATGAAGTACAACGATCGTCAATTCAACGATTTCGAGATTGCCGTTCGTGACACGTTGCATGACAATATGCATTGTAGGATAGGGGGGAGGGGAGGTACAATGTGTTCACTCTCATCTGCTAATGCTCCCGAGTTTCTACTTCATCACGGCTTTACTGATAAACTGTGGAGTGACTGGCAGAAGAAAGGTTGGAACTACAAGAATGCGTATTTCAAGGTACTACCTTTTTTGCGCATGAGCTACTGATGCTGCCACCTTAAAAACGCAACAAAATCCATGTTGAAGAAAAATGTCATCAAGGACGGATCCCGGGGAATGATTTGGGTGGCTACCATCCCCTTATTAGGGTTCAAAAATAAAGAAATAGAAATGCTATCAAAAAATAATACTAAAAAATCATATAAGTAGGAATGATTTTGATTCTGAAAAACAACTAAAGCAGCTTTCATCTGAAAGAAATCTCATTTTCCGCAGCCCTAAATTTAACTATTTTAGTATTCTTTTCTTGAGTTAGCCACACCCCATAACGTTCCAGATCCGCCAAAGGACATAGAGCCGTTAAATCCGGTAGATTTAGTCAAGAACTGGACTGAGTATATTAGGTTGTACTTATATGAACTGCTTTCGTTCTGTTTTAGCGGGTTTTTAGTAGAATGACCGATACTGGGCTTAGACCGGACGCCGTGTTGGACCTAAATCACCAGCCCGGTGGTGTGAGGGTGATATATCAAGACCCTACGCACAGTAAATATCAAGAAGTCCATCGGTATTTACAACAACTGACATTACAGGAACTTAAAGACATACCCAGACACAGGTAACCAAAAACTCTAATCTTTGACAAACCCAACACTCTCGTAAAGG